TTCCCTTCTTTACCTCTTGCCTGGGCACAGCCAGGCGTGGAGCAGGCGGGAGGCAGGCGCTTTGGAGGCAGGCCTCGCTCACCCAGCGCCCCCCCCTTTTCTCTGCCATGGCTGCGGGGCACCTTCTCGCCTGTTTGCCGGTTGGGCATGCCGTTGGTGCGCCTCTCGCACTGGCTGTGCTCTACCATTGTATTGTAATATTATGTACAGAAGTTATTGATGCTGTATAAATGTTTAACAGTTAGAATATATTTGTTTTGGTAACAATAGCAGAAGCTACAGCCAACTAGTTGTATCCACCGGGCGTTGCCAAGGAAACCAGGCAGGCTAGCTCAGAGAGGAGAAGTGGGCGGAGCCTAGCAAGAGAATGTTAGCTGCGTTTTGAAATGAAGCAGTTCAGTTGTGGATTTGGAGAGGGAGTGAGCAGTTGAGAGTGGAGAGAGGAGAAGCAGTGGGTGTGAACAGCCAGAGGTTTCTTCAGTCTAGGAAGGCTGAAGGGGGAAACCTAATTAGTTTCATTAGTCAGAGAGGACTAAGGGAAACTTGTTTAGATCACTAGTTAGGAAAGAACTAGGGATCTAGGATTTGATCAAGAAAGGATCAAATAAGAAGGCTATTCACCTCAGGAAACATTGTTAAAGAAAGTGCTTCACCACTGTATAAGTCAATTACAAGTTGTATCATCCAGAAGTGGAACTGTATTGCAAACCAAGTTACATTCAAATGTTCTCTAAGTTATTCCAAGTTAACTACCAGCCTGCAACCATAGGCTTTGTACAAAATAAACTTATTAACTTTTGTTTGAAGACCGTGTCATCTCCATTTATCTGCGTCTGGGGAGCCAGTTCTCATCGGCATTACTTCCCGTTGGTGGCAGTTACCTGAATTACATCTATAATCATCCACACCTGTATACTCGGTGTTTAAGAACAGTCTATACAATTAGTGACAGTGGGTGGGTTCTTTAAAGTTAAAAGCCCTATACCCTGTCTGTTGTTGTAATTGCAGCACCTTCGCAATTAGCACAATTGTACAACTGGTGTGTGCAGACCTTACAATTGGTGGCAGCCCTGTGCAATTGGAGTATAACCTTTACAACAGGGCTAGCGTTGTTGCAAATTGGTGGCAGACGACGGGATTCGTTTAACAACTAATTTAGTGTCTTAATATCACTTAGAGAAATAAATTGTGAGGTAAAATTTATCAAAACATGGCTACCAAACGTCAGAAAAAGGTTGTTGAGGAAGCAAAGGAATACCCAGGAGAAAGTTCAGATTCTGAACATGAACAAGAGCCTGTGCCTGTGTCAGAAATGGCTTTTAAATATAAACTGGATATGAAACGATTAGAAATGGAGGAAAGACAAAAAGTTAGGGAACAAGAATTAAGGCAGATGGAAATTGAATTGGAAAAACAGAGATTAGCCTTGTCTCAACCACACATTAGTAACCAAGAAGGGAGCTCTAGAGTGGACGCCACAGATATGTTTTTAAGGAGACTCCCTAAGTTTACTAAGGATGATGATGTGGAGAAGTTTTTAATTTCGTTTGAGAGGTGTTGTAGAGACTTTGAAATTGCTGAGGAGAAATGGATGACTTTCTTAAGACTTCAGATAAGTGGAAAGCTTTTAGAAATCTATGGAGACCTACCTGAGGAGTCCCATAGAGATTATAGTTTATTTAAAAAGCAGGTTCAACAGAGACTCCAATTGACGCCTGAGTTTTACAGACTAAAGTTTAGAACTCTGAAAAGAGAAAGGAACCAGAGTTTTGCTCAGGTGGCCTCAAGACAGGCTCAGCTGTTTGATAGTTGGCTAAGAACGTCTGAGGTAGAAAATTACCAACAATTAAGAGAGCTAATGAAATTGGAACAGTTATTTCATTTGGTGCCTGCAGATTATCGTTGGCTGGTGCATGATCGAAAACCAGCGATTGCTGGAGAACCAGCTGTCATGGTAGATCAATTAATTACCTTAAAGGAAGGATTTAAAAAGGAAGATGTGCCAAATGATAAAATGCCAAACAAGCAGCCATTTTATCATTATCAAACGCACACACAGCAGGGAAGAGGGCCAGCAGTAGAAAATGCCACCTGGAGGAAGCAGAGTGTAACAAGTCAAACTGCGCCTGAGAGAAAAATGAGGTGTTTTCAATGTGGAAAATGGGATCATTTAAGATATCAATGTCCCCATTTTAAAAAAGGATAAGACATCCCTCTTTGTTAGCAAAGTAAATGAAACAAAGAAGGCAGAACCAGCTACTGTGTCTAAAGATAGCCTGGAAGCAGTGCCCCAAGAGAAACAATGTCTGTTTATCCTGTCAAACACACCAACTGAGGAGTACTTAGAATCCATTTCCATTGACAACAAGTACATGAAGGGGTGGAGAGATACAGGAGCGGATGTTTGTATCATACATCCAGATGTAATACCGCAGAAATTTCGACATCCTACCTCAGAAATACATTTAAAAGGCTTGGGACCTGCAATACCAACTGAAGTAGTTTCTTTGCCAATAGAATATGAGGGATGGAAAGGGATTTGGGACTTTGCCATCAGCCCAGATATACCTTACAAGTGTTTAATCGGTAATGACCTGGCTAAGAAAATTAAAAACTGGAGGATGTTATGTGAGGAGAGTAACAATAACATCAGAGGCCCTACTCAAGAAGCAATGTGTTTAACCATTCAGCAAGATGAGGGAGAGGGTCCAGAATCCAGTTCTGTCAGTGCTGAGATTGTTAATAAAATAAAGGAAGCTAAAGAGATCCTGCATGAACAAATGACAGATGAAACTCTGAAACCTTTATTTACACAAGCTCAAAATACGCCAGAGTCGACAGAAGAACAACACTTCATATTTATTACTGAGAATGGTGTCCTCTATAGGGAAACTAAGAGTCTGAAGTCGGCAGGAAAGTTAGAAGTGTGTAATCAGATTTTTCAGAAAGTCAGAGAAGCTGAAGCCAGTGAAGAGAATATAGAAACAATAGGTCTGGAAAGACAAGTGATAAACTCTGAGGAGAAAAAAGAATCCTTGATCTTAAAAGATGTATTACCTTCAGCTCCACGTAAAGAAATTACCTCAACCAAACTTTCTGACAAAGATAATGAAATACAATCAAAAGAGAAAGCTGAAGAAAAGCAGACTCGGGATTTGACAGTAGAAACTGATGCGAGTTCAGAATATCCAAGGGTCTTCTGTGAAACAAAGATCCATACACCTGAAAGACTCATTGAAGTTAAGATAACTTCTAAACATGATTCATCCACTATAAAAGTTCCAGATGATCGTACAAAAGAAGTTTTAAAGATTGGAACTGTAGCTGAAGTTAAGAATCTAAGTGAAACTTATCAAAGAGCTGGCATCAACAAAATGGTAAATACAAGTTGTTACCCTGTAACAGATGATGGTGAAGATAAGAAGACTCTCAAACCTTCTACACTTCGTCTGAAAGAAGAGAGACATTTTGCTGAGAGTAAAACATTAGATCAACTCCTCCTTACTAACTCTGAGCATTTCGATATGTCTACAACTGAAAAGAAAGTAAGCAGAAAAAGAAGATCTAATCATATATCGGAAGAAGAATCTCCTTTATCCTTGAGCAGAGAAGAGAATAAAAGCCAAGCTGATGGACTGACAAGAGAAATAATATACACTGACTATGTTAATGGTGATAAAAGGAAAAAGCTGCAATTTCTAGCTTTGGAAGTTCATCCAGATAGCAGTGATGAGTTTGCAATAACGAAGGACAGTATTCTTGTTTGTTCTTCCAAGGACAGTGAATTCTCTTCAATACCAAGAAAAGATGTTCAAGGAACTACAGATTCTTCACTAAGACCTGATGCTACGTTGAAGCAAGCCTTTATTCAAGCATTAAAATTCTATAAAAGCAGAACTGTTCCTGATAATTGGAAGGCCAGGTTAAAAGAAGAAACTCCAGCAGAAAGAATAGAAAGAGAAGAATGTGGAACTGTGTGGGGTGTATTGACCTGTTGTAATTTGAGTCTGGGTATCAGGAAAAGGAGAATTGGAATTGGATAAAAGAAAAAAAACCCTTTATTTTCTAGGGTCAGACCACATTGAGTAATTAAAAGTGTTAATGTAGAAAGGTAATGTATGTGTAATGTAGTGTAATATTTTATAAATGATCAAACTGTTTTATTGCATATTTGAAAATGTATGGTGTCATTACAGTGATAAACTGTATATGTTTTGTGCAATAGGTATAAGATATAAATACATTATATTGAAGTATGTTACGTGTATAAGTTTTGCAATAGGATATGAATATTTACAATTTATTTATTTATTTATTTACTGTACTTGTATACCGCTGTTTCTCAGCCTAGCTGGCGACTCAACGCGGTTGTTGCGTCTCAGGTTAAGCTTCACCTTGCTCTCTGACAAACCAGCCAAACTTGAGAAGAAAGTAGTTTATTGAGGTTTCAAACAAATCCAAGTAAAAGCAGTAAAAAGGTTCAATAGTACAAAGTATAGTTCCAATAAGTTCTCTTGAATCAAGGCAGGAAACTTGAGGCAAAGAAGCAGGATAAAATCCAGGCAATAGCATGAGGTTACAGGAAGCAGGCAATCCACAAGGCCCAAGCCCTGGATACGGAGGCACAGCGATCCATTTTGCAAAGTTGAAACTGACACTGAATCAGCTCCCAAGCAGCTTACTTATAGG